CTATACGAAGGCGTGGACCTGCACAGACAATTTTCTGCCATAGTCTGTGGTATTCATTACGAACTTCAAATACCAAATTTGAAACAATTCCGGTTAATAATGTCGCAAAAATCATCAAAATACCAAATATCGGAAGGTACCTTTATATGAGGGCTATACGAAGGCGTGTACCCGCACAGATAATTTTCTTGCATAGGCTGTAGAATCCATTACGAACTTCAAGTACCAAATTTGGAACAATTCCGGTGAATAATGTTGCTAAAATTATCAAAATACCAAATATCGGGTGGTACCGTTATATGGGGGCTATACGAAGGCGTGGACCTGCACAGACAATTTTCTGTCATAGGCTGTGCTATTCATTGCGAACTTCAAATACCAAGTTTGAAACAATTCCGGTGAATAATGTCGTTAAAATCATCAAAATACCGAATATCGGAGGGTACCGTTATATGGGGGCTATACGAAGGCGTAAACCTATACAGACAATTTTCTGTCATTGGCTGTAGTATCAAATACCAAATTTGAAGCAATTCCGGTGAATAATGTCGCTAAAATTAACAAAATACTGAATATCGGGAGGTACTGATATATGGGGCCTATACGAAGACGTGGACCTGCACAGACAATTTTCTGTCATAGGCTGTAGTATCGATTACAAACTTCAAATACCAAATTTGAAGCAATTCCGGTGAATAATGTCGCTAAAATCATCAAAATACCGAATATAGGAAGGTACCATTATATGGGGGCTATACCAAAACGTGGACCTACGTGACCCATTATCAATACCAAAAGTCCTGCAGACATTATATGTATTTGAGTAAAATTTTATCAATCTACTTCATTTCGTTCGGAAGCTAGAGTGATTTCCACAGAGAGACAGACGGACAGACGGATAGTCGGACGGACATCGCAAAATCGACGTAGCATTTTATGCCGATCAAGAATATATACACTTTGTGGGGTCTAAAATGTATATTTCGAGGTGTTACAAACGGAATGACAAACTTCATATACCCTCCATACTATGGTGGAGGGTATAAAAATGTCAACATCACAAGATCCATCAAAGGTCATTTGAAGCATTAATAATTCGTAGTAAAAATTAATATTCCAAATTTTTCAAATTCCTAGACTAAAATAGTTTTTAATTATTATATTTTTTTTTGAAACCATAAAAATCTGTCCTTCCAAATATTAGCATACCAAGGCTTATGGCCGATACTATTTTGCTCTTAAAACATATAAATGTCAAAGTAATAAAATTTTGAAATTTATAATTTATATAAAGAATTCTATTTTTCGCACAAACTATTTTTTTTCGCAACGCGAAATTTGTTTGTTTAGAATGCAAAAAAAAGAAAATAAATATTGATTTAAGAAAATTTTTTCGAATGCAAAAAATCCAAAACAAATATTTATAAAATCAAAAATCAAACAAAAAACAATTAAATCTCTTTGTGATTGGTTTTTGGTAGAGTCATGGCACCTCATATTTGCCTCTTTATTATTATTAATATTTTTTTTTTTTTTTTTGAAATATTAATGAAGTCTTTTTAATTTACTACCAATTAACACTTTTCTTGCTACCCAGCCTTCCAATGCTTATTTTGAGTCAAGCAGCTCACAATGTTTGGCATTTTTTGAATGCAAAAAAAAAAACACAAATTCAAAACTGTTTATTTTGTAAACAATTTTGTGGTTTTTGATTTGCAATTGTATGGTGTGTGTGTGCTTTTTTGGTAATCAAAAATAAATTTCCATCTACAACACTTTTATGGCTGTGTAATTTGAATTTTATTCTCTTGTTCAAAAGAGGAGAACAAAACTTATATTTGATTCGATTTTGGCTGGTAATTAGTTTTGATGAAGATGTAACAGCTTTTGATTGAGATTTTTTTTATTGGGAATTAGAAACATGTAAATGTTTTTTATTGAGAGTATTAAATTCATTTTTTCAATAATTACAGAAAAAATCCAACAGATTATGAAAATAGAGCTAAAAATCGGAGACACTTAAATCGACGTTGTGAAAGTTTATATCGAAACAGTAACCCTAAATAGAGGGGGTAAATTCTTTCCTCATCTACTTTTTTCGGAATTATTTTAATGAGATTCCCAGAAATCCCTGTATTTTAGGTATATATGTAGATCAAAACCCCCAAAAGATTATCGGGTTCTTAGGCTACACATAGGGATCAAAATAGAGCATTGGATTACTCCAAAAATTTTTAGCTTTAAGCCATTTTTCTTTAACTTATTTGGTGGAGGGTACCATTTGGAACAAATTTGACAATTTTCAAAAAATCCGTTAAAAATTCTGTTAACTAGGGTCTAGACGACGCATAGGCAACTTTTGGCATAAGCCCATAAAATATTCAAATGCGAAACTTGAAAAAAATTTATTTTAAGGGGGATATACCAAATTCTTCTGCCTTAAGCTGCAGTATCCATTACGAACTTCAAATACCAAATATGAAATAATTCCGGTAAATAATGTCGCTAAAATCACCAAAATACCGAATATCGGGAGGTACCATTATATGGGGGCTATACGAAGACGTGGACCTGCACAGACAATTTTCTGTCATAAGCTGTAGTATCCATTACGAACATCAAAGAATAAATTTGAAACAATTCTGGTGAATATTGTCGCTAAAATCATCCAAATACCGAATATCGGGAGGTACCGTTATATGGGGGCTATATGAAGACGTGGACCTGCAAAGACAATTTTCTGTCATAGGCTGTAGTATCAATTACAAACTTCAAGTACCAAATTTGGAACAATTCTGGAAAAAAATGTCGTTAAAATCGTCAAAATACCGAATATAGGAAGGAACCGTTATATGGGGGCTATACAAAGACGTGGACCTGAACAGGCAATATTCTGTCATAGGCTGTAGTATTCATTACGAACTTCAAATGGCAAATTTGTAATGTCGCTGAAATCATCAAAATACCGAATATCGGGAGGTACCGTTATATGGGGGCTATACGAAGACATGGACCTGTACAGCCAATTTTTTGTCATAGGCTGTAGTAACCATTACGAACTTCAAATACTAAATTTGAAGAAATTCCGGTGAATAATGTCGCTAAAATCATGAAATTACCGAATATCGGGTGGTACCATTATACGGGAGCTATACCAAAATGAGGACCTGCACAGACAATTTTCTGTCTTAGGCTGTAGTAACCATTATGAACTTCAAGTACCAAGTTTGAAACAATTTCGGTAAAAAATTACGCTAAAATCAACAAAATACCCTATATCGGGAGGTACCGTTATATGGGGGCTATACAAAGACGTGGACCAGCACAGGCAATTTTCTGTCTTAGACTGCAGTATCCATTACGAACTTCAAATACCAAATTTGGTACAATTCCGGTGAATAATGTCGCTAAAATCATCAAAATACCGAATATCGGGATGTACGGTTATATGGGGGCTGTACGAAGACGTAGACCTGCACAGACAATTTTCTGTCCCAGGCTGTAGTATCCATTACGAACTTCAAATGCCAATTCTAAAACAATTCCGGTGAATAATGTCGCTAAAATAATCAAAATACCGAATATAGGGAGGTACCCTTATATGGGGGCTATACCAAAATGTGAACCTGTACAGACAAGTTCCTGTCCTAGGCTGTAGTATCTATTCCGAACTTCAAATACAAATTTTGAAACAATTCCGGTAAAAAGTGTCGCTAAAATCATCAAAATACCGAATATCGGGAGGTACCGTTATATGGGGGATATACGAAGACATGAACCTGTACAGACAATTTTCTGTCATAGGCTGTAGTAACCATTATGAACTTCAAATACCAAATTTGAAACAATTCCGGTGAATAATGTCGTTAAAATCATCAAAATACCGAATATTGGAGGTACCGTTATATGGGAGCTATACCAAAATGTGGACCTGCACAGACAATTTTCTGTCATAGGCTGCAGTATCCATTACGAACTTCAAATACCAAATTTGAGACAATTCTGGTAAAAAATGACGCTAAAATCATCCAAATACCGAATATCGGGAGGTACCGTTATATGGGGGCTATACGACAATTTTTCTGCCTAAGGCTGCAGTATTCATCACGAACTTCAAATACCAAACTTGAAACAATTCCGGTAAAAATGTCGCTAAACTCAACTAAGTACCGAATATCGGGAGGTACAGTTATATGGGGGCTATACGAAGACGTGGATCTGCACAGACAATTTTCTGTCATAGGCTGCAGTATTCATTACGAACTTCAAATACCAAATTTGAAACAATTCCGCTGAATAATATCGCTAAAATCATGAAAATACCGAATATCAGGAGGTACCGTAATATGGGGGCTATACAAAGACGTGGACCTGCACAGACAATTTTCTGTCCTAGGCTGCAGTATCAATTTCGAACTTCAAATACCAAATTTGAAACAATTCTGATAAAAAATGACGCTAAAATCAACAAAGTACCGAATATTGGTACCGTTATATGGGGGCTATACAAAAACGTGGACCTACATGGCTACCAAAATCGACATAGAATTTTATGCTGATCAAGAATATACATACTTTGTGGGGTCTAAAATGTTTATTTTGAGGTGTTACAAACGGAATGGCTAACTTAATATACCCTTCACACTATGGTGGAGGATATAAAAATGGTCCATGTTAATCCACTTTTTGGTACAGTCCCTACATAGAACGGCCAACATTTAACACTAAAAAAATTGTGAATGGGCTCGGTGTAGTAGCCTATATATGGCCCCAACAAATATTTTTATTTTCTCCCCAAATCTAACCACGTTGGGCGCCATTGTCTTGAGGCATAGAAATGGAATCTGCTTCCCATTCGGTCACTGTTCACATAATGCTCCAGTTTTTTTTTCTTTCTGTAAAACATCTGCGATTCTTGAAAATAAATTAAAAATATTTGATTGCAATTTGTTATTCTTATCAAAACGTGCGCCCGGGTTCAAATAGGTCAAACGGTTCGAAAGAGATAAGCAAACAAACCAAAGTCTATGCAATGCAAATATTTAGATTTCCAATACAACTCAAGACATAAACATTCATCCATCACATTCGTCGGAGTGCAGACTCAAAATGAACATTTTCATTCCAATTATAATCAGCTTTTTGCTGATTTTTAAGGTAAATACAAAAAATATTTAAAAAAAGATCCAATAATTATTTTAAATTTTCCCACAGTCCCTTCAAGGCCTTCCCACATCCGACACCAATGAGGTGGACACCTCCAATGACAGTTCTCACTATGCCTTTCTGCTGAGCGAAGCCAAACAATATTCGGAACAAATTGAGCAACTTATTAGAAAGAGTTTGCCCCAATTGCCTTCAGATGATACCTTCAATTTGTATCGCAACAAATTCAATAAATATTTGGAATTGAAAAAAGATTATAAAGCAGCCACCGCCGAAGATTGTGAAGAGAAATCCCTGGAGTTTTTTGATGCCCAAAACGCATTCATCAGTGTTTACATGTATGGTCACAGCAACTCGACCGGTCTGCAAGATGTTGTGAAAATTTTAAATGACAATGGAATGAAACAGATCAAGGATGAGTTCGATGCCAAGCGTGCCAGTGGGGTTTATGGTAAACCTGATCGTAAAGATTTTGAAAAATATGTGGCAACACATTGTTGATCAGCGGAAAATACTACAAAAAATTGCGATTTTTTGTGAAAATAATTCTGGAAATAGAAGTCAATAAAGAAAACATACCTAACTCCAAAGTTTAACACAGGAAAAAATCCTTAATTTTTTGTGAAACGATTTTCAAGGCCCCTTAATTTTTAATTTTAACATTTAATCGTATAAATGTGTACCCAAATTTAAAAGGATACTGCCCAGCCTTCAATTTGATGTGCACTGAAATTTTGTTGCCAATAAACTATCAGAGATATGGCAACGTTTTTAAGTGAGCGCAAATATTGAAATATTCAAATATTTTTGTGCAATGAAATAAAATTACCTTTAATATCAAAATTAGTTTTTTGTACTCAAAAAAGTGGCCATATTTTGAAAGAACAATGTTTGATCTTCAAATGGATGTGCATTGAAATGATGTGGCCAATTAACTATCAAAGATATGGCAAAATTATGAAGTGTGTGCAAAATTTGAAATATTCAAATATTTTTGTGCAATGAAATAAAATGACCTTTAATATCAAAAATAGTTTTTTGTACTCAAAAATGCGGCCATATTTTGAAAGAACAATGTCTGATCTTCAAATGGGTGTACACTAAAATGATGTGGCCAATTAATTATCAGAGATACGGCAACATTTTTAAGTGAGGACAAAATTTGAAATATTCAAATATTTTTGGGCAATGAAATAAAATAGACCTTTAATATCAAATTTGGTATTTTGTACTCAAAAATGTGGTCATATTTTGAAAGAACAATGTTCAACCTTCAAATGGATGTGCACTAAAATGATGTTGCCAACTAGTTTTTAGAGATATGGCAACATTTTGAAGTTAGAGCAAAATTTAAAATATTCAAATATTTTTGTGCAATGAAATAAAAGGACCTTTAAAACGAAAATTAGTTTTTTGTAATAGAAAATGTGTCCATATTTTGAAAGAACAATGCTTGGCCTTCAAATGGATGTGCGCTGAAATGGTGTTGCCAATTATTTTGCAGAGATATGGCAACATTTTTATGCAAGAGCAAAATTTGTAAAATTCAAAAAAAAATTGTGCAATGAAATAAAAAGATTTTCAATATCAAAATTAGATTTTTGTGCTCAAAAATGTGTCTATATTTTGAAAGAACAATGTTCAACCTTGAAATGAATGTGCGCTAATGGATGGTGTTGCCAACTAACTCCCAGAGATATGGCAACATTTTTATGTGAGTGCCACATTCCAAATATTTTACATTTTTTGTGCAATGAGTTTAAAGGGCAATTGTTATCAAATTTGGTTTTAAATATTCCAAAATGTACACACATTTTGAAAGAGCAATACCTGACCTCTTTTTTTAACAAAAATTTTATTTATGTAGTTTACCAAGTATCTGAGATACTGTACATTTTTCACATTAACCGAAAATTCATAAATTTTGCGTTATCAGTTTCATAGGGTTACGACTGCTATGTTTAGCTTTACATCCGTAAAATGTGAACCCAACTTGGAAAGAATACTACCCGGCATTTAATCTGATGTGCCCAGGAATCGAGTTGCCAATTAACTATCTGAGATATGGCAACATTTTTACGTAAGTGCAAAATTTCCAATATTTTGTATTTTTGGTGCAATGAATGCTAAGGGCCTTTAATATCGGAATTCCTTTATGTACTCCAAAAATATGAAAAAATTTTCAAAACTCAATGCCTTGCCTTCATTATAATGTGAAATATATTAATGTAGCTCATCAAATATCAGAGATACTGCGCATTATTACATGAACCGAAAATTTATATTTTTTGCGGTTTCATGGGGTTTTAATTTGTAGGTTTAGCTTTACATCAGTAAAATGTAAATTTGATCTGGAAAGAATACTGCCCGAACTTTAATTTGATGTGCACAGGAATGGAGTTGCCAATTATCGATCTGAGATATGGCAACATATATACATGAGCGCAAAATTTCAAATATTTTAAACTTTTTTTGTAATGAAATTTAAGAGTCCTTTCCTTCCTTTCCTTTACGAGTTCCAAAAATATGGCTATATTTTAAAAACTCAATGTCTAACCTTCATTACAATGTGAAATATATGGATATAGCTCATCAAATGGCAGAGATACCGTACCTTTTCCACATCAACCCAAAATGTATACATTTTGCGTAATGAACTACATGGGACCTTCATTTGTAGATTTAGCTTTATATCGTAAAAATGTGAACCCGTCCTTGAAAGAATACTATTCAACTTTCAATTCGATGTGCATATGGATGGTGTTGCCAATTAACTATCAGAGATATGGCAACATTTATACGTGAGTGCAAAATTTCTAATATTTTTTACTTTTTGTGCAATGAATGTTAAGGGAATTTAATATCGAAATTCCTTTATCTTCTCCAAAAATGTGGACGCATTTTAAAAGAGCATTGTCAAACCTTTATTACAATGTGAAATATATGGATCTAGCTTATCAAATGGCAGAGATACCGTAACTTTTTCACATGAACCCAAAGTTTATACATTTTGCGTAATGAGCTTCATGGGACCTTCAATTGTAGATTTAGCTTTATATCGTAAAAATGTGAACGCGACTTTGAAAGAATACTGTGCGACCTTCAATTTGATGTGCACATGGATGGTGTTGCCAATTAACTATAAAAGATATGGCAACATTTTTACGTGAGCGCAAAATTCCCGACATTTTAAAATTTTCTTGGCAAAGAATTAAAAGGGCCTTTAATATTGGAAATTATTTTTGTATCATTAAACTATGAACTAATTCGGATAGGAAAATGTCCGACCTTTAGATCGATATGAAATATATTGATCTAGCTCGCTAAATAGCAGAGATATCGTAAATATTTCACATGTACAAAAATTAGACGTGAACATAAACATTTTCGTTTTTCCGTAATCTATTTTTTGGGCCCATAACTCACGACATAATGACTCAATCATAAAGAAATAAATAATTCTGACAATCCAATGTTCTGTATAAACGACTGTAACAATTATTTTGATTTGAATAATTGCGTCCAGGAGATATCACCAAATAAACACAAGACACGTAATTTTCTAATTTCCTAAAATTTTCCAATCATCCTTCTTTGAAGGGCATAACTTTTGAAATATTCATTTGATCCCAAAGAGGTGCAAGACTTTTTCGAAGATATTTTTATGTCCTTAAAACTTACTAAGATTTTGGGACTGTAACTAATTAGAGTTATGAGCTATCGCCAAAGATGTGGAAGATATGAAAATTTCCAAATTTTACTTTTTCTTCTGTAATATCATTCCTGAGGTCACAACTTTTGAAATAATAGCTATATCTCCCAGCAGTATGCAAAAATATGAAGGATCCGAGTCGGGCCTTAGGACCTAAGCATAATTTGATAATTTATACGGTTTAGTTCAAGATATATCATACAATATGCACCAGGGATGGAACTTTCTTATTTCTTTTATATTTGTAGTTTTCATTATTTAGGGGTCATAACTTTTAATATAGACATGCTAGCCGATTGAAGTGATAGAGTTTTCCCAAGATATATGCAGTCCCTTTAAATGTATGTATATTGTATGGATGTACCTAATCAATTGATAGAGATATCGTAAGATATACACAAGATATGTTATTTTGGAATTTCATGCATAATCTTAGTGACTTTCTTTTAGAGGCCATAAATTTGGAAATAATCCTTGTATCTAAAAGATGTCAAAGACTTTTCCCTCGGAACTAAATTGGTCTTTATAGTTTAAAAAGATTTATGCCTATAGCTTTTCAAATTCCAGAGATATTTCAAACTATATTTCGTACTCTGGAATTTGTCATTCGTCGAAATTCTTCTGCTATCTCGCTACTGACGGCTTCATATTTTAAATACAAGCTTTATCTTTTGGAAAGACCCGGTTTTTGATGGTCCTGTAGTAGGTCTAAAAAGCTGTATAAATAAATTTAATATAACTGAGCAAATTCAAGAGCTATCGTAAAGAAATCAGAAGTAATGGAAATTTATCATTTCTTTTAATTTTTTAGTAATAATCTCAAAGAGGCCAAAGCTCTTGAACTAGTTGTTCTATTGTAAAGAACTTGAGCAGAATTTCAAGAAATAAATCCAGCTTTCTAAAAATACAAAGTTTGTGTTTGTAGCTATTAACATTTCTGAGTTATCCTGAAAATAAAAATGCACTAGCAAGTTTCAAGCTTTAAAAGTTATATTAGGTATGCTTTTTAAGGGTCCACAACTTGTTAAATATTAGTTGTACCTCCATCAGTTGAAAGACATTTTATTAGCCCTAGACCTTGTCTTTAGACACAGAAAATTTTTGTCATATAACTTTTTAGGTTCAAGAGTTATCGTGCTTTATACAAATATGACCAAGTTTTTTTTTTACTTTTTATGCAAAATCTTTTCTGAGGCCATAGTATTGAGTAAATAGGAGTGTCTCAGAAATATCAAGGAATATTAGAAGCCCTGAATCCTAGTAGTATTGGAATACCTGGATCCGAATAGAACTCTATGCAGAATATAATATGAACAGTCCTGGGTTTGAATAGAATACAAGAAGCACATGGTCCCAATTAAATGTGGAGAGCTCTAATTTCGAATAGAATCTGTTTAAATAAAATAAAATATTAGAAGCCCTAGGCCGGAAAAAATATAAGGATCTCTGGCTTCGAATAGGATTTGGGTATTTCTGAGTCTAAACAGACTGAGAGACTTTTACATTTCAAAGTTTTCTACAAAATGCAAAGATCTTAAAGTCCAATGAATTGTTGTTCGATTGGGAGGCTACATTGCATTGCATAATCTAAATATAAGTGCACATGGTCAGATATTTCCCAGACATTTTCCCCATAGATGCGACATGATAAGCAGCGCCTATAAAAACGCGGTTTGAAAAATTCTAACTTTTAAATTCATTTCACACATAGCAGTTCAAAGTCATAGAGGACGGTAGCAAAATGAAAATATTATTTACAAGGCTAATCAGCCTCACAATAATATTTGCGGTAAATATATTTAATTTAAAATCACTCAAAAACAAATCACTAAGACACATATTTTTTCCTCAGCTTTCCCTTGGCAATCCCATTGATTCTCCCAGCCAAGAACAATATGCCAGCCTGCAGAAAGATTTTCTACAAATTGCTGATAAAATGGAAATCCTCATTGAAAAATCGCTACCCCAACTACCAACGGGAGAGGAATATGAACACTTCCGAACAGAATTTCAGAGCTTTCTGAAGAAAAAGCGTTTATACGCATCTATTACACCTGGCGAGAATTGTGAAAACAAAATTCTTTCCTTTTTTGATGATTTTGCAGACATTTTAAAATATTTTGTATTGCGTCCTCCACGCTCGGCCATTGCCGAGCAGATTGTTCAGATTTTCAATGCAAATGGCATGGAAAAAATTAAAGCCGATGTTGAAAACCTTGTGGCTACGAATATAAAAAGGAGCGATTTTGAAAAGTATCTTGTAAGAAATTGTTAAGGATAATAAAGAAAATTTTAAAAAATTGTAAAAAAATTTAATTTTTTAAAGACTTTTTTTTAAGGGACTTAAAGTCCCTTCCAGTAGGATTTTTGGGAAATTTTTCTAAAGGACTTATGAATCATTGAATGTGGATTAAAAGAAATGTTCTAAAGGATATAGAAGCATCTTAACGATAAGATAATTTTTAAAGGAACTTCAGAGGAATAAACTAAGATTTTTAATTAGTATGTTTTAAAGGACTTTCAAGGAATAAAAGTGGATTTTTAAATAATATTATTCAAAGGACCTTCAGAGTCATAAACGTGGATTTTTTAAAGAATATTTTTCAAAGGACATTCAATGCAAGAAACGTGGATCTTTTAAAGAATATTTTTCAAAGGACATTCAATGCAAGAAACGTGGATTTTTTAAAGAATATTTTTCAAAGGACATTCAATGCAAGAAAATTGGATTTTTTAAATAATATTTTTCAAAGGGCCTTCAATAAAAGAAACGTGGATTTTTTAAGAATATTTTTCAAAGGACCTTCAGAGATAAAAACATGGATTTTTAGAATATTTTGAATTTTTAAAGAATATTTTTCAAAGGACCTTCAGAGGTAAAAACTCGGATTTTTAAAGAATATTTTGGATTTTAAAAGAATATTTTTCAACGGACCTTCAATGCAAGAAACGTGGATTTTTTAAAGAATATTTTTCAAAGGACCTTCAATGCAAGAAACGTGGATTTTTTAAGGAATATTTTTCAAAGGACCTTCAATGCAAGAAACGTAGATTTTTTAAAGAATATTTTTCAAAGGACCTCCAAAGCAAGAAACGTGGATTTTTGTAAAGAATATTTTTCAAAGGACCTCCAAAGCAAGAAACGTGGATTTTTGTAAAGAATATTTTTCAAAGGACCTCCAAAGCAAGAAACGTGGATTTTTGTAAAGAATATTTTTCAAAGGACCTTCATAAACGTGGATTTTTGTAAAGAATATTTTTCAAAGGACCTTCATAAACGTGGATTTTTGTAAAGAATATTTTGTCAAAGGACCTTCAGATATATAAACGTGGATTTTTAAAGAACATTTTTCAAAGGACCTTCAGAGTCATAAACGTGGATTTTTTAAAGAATATATTTCAAAAGACCTTCATAAAGTGAATTTTTAAAGAATATTTTTCAAAGGACCTTCAGAGACATAAACGTGGATTTTTTAAAGAATATTTTTCAAAGGACCTTCAGAGACATAAACGTGGATTTTTTAAAGAATATTTTTCAAAGGACCTTCAGAGACATAAACGTGGATTTTTTAAAGAATATTTTTCAAAGGACCTTCAGAGACATAAACGTGGATTTTTTAAAGAATATTTTTCAAAGGACTTTCAATGCACGGAACGTGGATTTTTAAGGAATATTTTTCAAAGGACCTTCAATGCAAGAAACGTGGATTTTTTAAAGAATATTGTTCAAAGGACCTTCAATGCAAGAAACGTGGATTTTTTAAAGAATATTTTTCAAAGGACCTTCAATGCAAGAAACGTGGATTTTTTAAAGAATATTTTTCAAAGGACTTTCAATGCACGGAACGTGGATTTTTTAAAGAATATTTTTCAAAGGACCTTCAGAGATAAAAACGTGGATTTTTAAAGAGTATTTTTCAAAGGACCTTCAGAGATAAAAACGTGGATTTTTAAAGAGTATTTTTCAAAGGACCTTCAGAGACATAAACGTGGATTTTTTAGAGCATATTTTTGAAATGGCCTTCAGAGAAATAAAAGTGGATTTTTTTGAGCAATTTTTGAAATGGCCTTCAGAGACATAAACGTGGATTTTTTAGAGCATATTTTTGAAATGGCCTTCAGAGAAATAAAAGTGGATTTTTTTGAGCAATTTTTGAAATGGCCTTCAGAGACATAAACGTGGATATTTAAAGAATTATTTGGATTTTAAAGGAATATTTTTCAAAGGACCTTCAGAGATATAAACTTTTTAAAGAATATTTTTCAAAAGACCTACAGAGATATAAACGTGGATTTTTAAAGAATATTTTTCAAAAGACCTACAGAGATATATACGTGGATTTTTAAAGAATATTTTGGATTTTTAAAGAATATTTTTCAAAGGACCTTCAGAGATATAAACGTGGATTTTTAAAAAATATTTTGGATTTTTAAAGAATATTTTTCAAAGGACCTTCAGATATAAACGTGGATTTTTAAAGAATATTTTGGTTTTTTTTTCAAGAATATTTTTCAAGGGACCTTTAGAGATTTCAATTTAGTACCTTAAAAGTCCTTCAGATAATATTTTCTAAAAAAGTCCTTAAGAAATAAATTTTTTAAAAAATATTTTCTCTAGGACCTTTTTAAAAAATATTTTCTCAAATACTTTTAAAGGGGAAATCAGAGATTACATTTTTCGTTATAGTTTCCCCTTTAAAAGTCCTTGAGAAAATATTTATTATATTTTGAAAAAAGTATTTTCCCAAGGACTTTTAAAGTGGAAATCTGAGATTGTATTTTTCGTTATTGTCAACATTTTGATTTTTTTTCTTCCATTTTTTCTTTCAATCTCGCGGAAATTCCCAACAAAAGAAAAATTCCGATGCTTATCAGCTAATGAATTTTACAAAGGTCATTAGATCACGCTTCAAATCGGTGAGAAAAATACAAAAGGCACAGCTAACAAATTGTATACGTTCAGTAAGCATCTGATAGGCATTTCAAAATCAATCCCTTGAAAATGTCGATTTTAATTTGTTTCGTTGTTACATTGTTGGCTCTGCAGCAGGTAAGAGAATTTCAAACTTGAAAATTCAAACCAAGTAATTTTCCGAATTCCACTCATTCAGACCCCTTTTCTGGCGGCCCATCGATTCGGCGATGTTTTGGAGAGTGAGGAACGTAATCAAATAATGTCCATGTTGGATGAAACCAAGGAAATGGCCGGCCAGGTTGAGGCCATGCTTTTGAAAGTTCTACCCGAAATACCAACTGGAAAAACTTACGAGGAGTTGCACAACAATGTTCTGGAATATTATGACAAAGTTCATGGCTACAAGGAGCGGAAGTATCATTGCCGCAAGAGGGCTCGTCAGTTCTTGGAGGGTTTTAAAGAGTTTTCCGAAATCTACTCGAATGAGCAGGCTGATACGCCGGAAAAGCAAGAGGTGGTTAGGCTATTGGAAGAGGCTGGCCTAAAGGAGATGCGTGAGAAATTCAATGAGAAAATGGCCCGAGATGAATTCGATTATATTTTGGAATAATTTGTGGGAAATAAATAAATTGAAAAAAAAAAAAACAAGCAAGCAAGAGACTTTTCTTTCTCCGACAGTCTAAGGAGACCTTTTCGGAAAAAAATCTCCTCAGCTATGGAGAATTCTGATTCTTTAAAAAATCCCAGTTTCTTGCATTGAAGGTCCTTTAAAAAAAATTCTTTAAAAATCCAAGGTCCTTTGAAAAAAAATTCTTTAAAAATCCAAGGTCCTTTGAAAAAAATTCTTTAAAAATCCAAGGTCCTTTGAAAAAAATTCTTTAAAAATCCAAGTTCCTTTGAAAAAAAAAATCTTAAAAAATCCAAGGTCCTTTGAAAAAAAAAATTTAAAAATCCAAGGTCCTTTGAAAATAAAATCTTTAAAAGTCCAAGGTCCTTTGAAAAAAAATTCTTTAAAAATCCAAGGTCCTTTGAAAAAATTCTTTAAAAATCCAAGGTCCTTTGAAAAAAAATTCATTAAAAATCCAAGATTCTTGCATTGAATGTCCTTTGAAAAAAAATTCTTAAAAAATCCAAGTTTTTTGCATTGAAGGTCCTTTGAAAAAAATTATTTAAAAAACCCGAATTTTTTGCATTGAAGGTCCTTTGAAAAAAATTCTTTAAAAAATCCAAGTTTCTTGCTTTGAAGGTCCTTTGAAAAAAAAATCTTTAAAAAAATCCACGTTTCTTGCATTGAAGGTCCTTTAAAAAAAATCTTTAAAAAAATCCACGTTTCTTGCATTGAAGGTCCTTTGAAAAAAAATCTTTAAAAAATCAACGTTTCTTGCATTGAAGGTCCTTTGAAAAAAAATCTTTAAAAAATCCACGTTTCTTGCATTGAAGGTCCTTTGAAAAAAAATCTTAAAAAAATCCACGTTTCTTGCATTGAAGGTCCTTTGAAAAAAATCTTTGCAAACAATTCTTTAAAACATCCACGTTTCTTGCATTTAAGGTCCCTTGAAAAATATTCTTTAAAACATCCACGTTTCTTGCATTTAAGGTCCCTTGAAAAATATTCTTTAAAACATCCACGTTTCTTGCATTTAAATATTCTTTAAAACATCCAAGTTTCTTGCATTGAAGATCCTTTGAAAAAAATTCTTTAAAAAATCCACGTTTCTTGCATTGAAGGTCCTTTGAAAAATATTCTTTAAAAAATCCACGTTTCTTGCATTGAAGGTCCTTTGAAAAATGTTCTTTAAAAAATTTACGTTTCTTGCATTGAAGGTCCTTTGAAAAAATTCTTTAAAAATTCACGTTTCTTGGTTTGAAGGTCCTTTGAAAAAATTCTTTAAAAAATCCACGTTTCTTGCATTGAAGGTCCTTTGAAAAATATTCTTAAAAAAATCCACGTTTCTTGCATTGAAGGTCCTTTGAAAAAAATTCTTTAAAAAAATCCACGTTTCTTGCATTGAAGGTCCTTTGAAAAATATTCTTTAAAAAATCCACGTTTCTTGCATTGAAGGTCCTTTGAAAAATGTTCTTTAAAAAATTTACGTTTCTTGCATTGAAGGTCCTTTGAAAAATGTTCTTTAAAAAATTTACGTTTCTTGCATTGAAGGTCCTTTGAAAAAATTCTTTAAAAATCCACGTTTCTTGGTTTGAAGGTCCTTTGAAAAAATTCTTTAAAAAATCCACGTTTCTTGCATTGAAGGTCCTTTGAAAAATATTCTTTAAAAAATCCACGTTTCTTGCATTGAAAGTCCTTTGAAAAAAATTCTTTAATAAATCCTAGTTTCTTGCATTGAAGGTCCTTTGAAAAATATTTTTTAAAAACTCCACGTTTCTATGCGGAATAAGAAATAAATTTATAAAATACCAAGCATGATGGAAAAATTTTCTCTCGTCGAAAATACATCCTGAGCGGCAAGGGAGACTTTTTTCCACACGAAAAAATCTCTCAGCGTCTGTGGAGACTTTTTTCTATGTGAAAACCATATTCTTTTCAGGGGCTGAGGAAAATGTTTTCTATTGGGAAAAATTTCTTACCAGCGGAGGGGACATTTTCCATACGAAAAAAATCTGAGTAGACTTTACCACCCATCCGAAACTTTTGTGTTGTTGTTATTTCTGATTTTTAAGTAGGCGAAGGTGAAATATTGATTGGGGCTTTTTTTTGCCCAAAATTTGTTGTCGAATATTCTTTTGTACGTTCATTGGCTTTGCCATTCTTTTCTGGCGAAGAACTAAATATTATGGACAGCATCATCGTCCACGTCAAATGTCTGTCCGTTTGGATTGGACAACGTGCTCTCTTTGTCATTGGTTTATTTTTATAAAATTCGATTCATATTTCGTTGGCGGTTTTCAAGTTTTTTTTTTCTTTTGCAATAATTAGGGCCCATAGGCCACACCGGCGAAATTATAAGAAAAATTATTATGAATCAAAATTTTATTTTGAGTTGATGAGTTTGTCGCTGATATTTTCCCAGGGAAATTTTGTTGTTCGTGAGAAAATGACAAATGTCCACTATCGCACAATAATTAATTAAAATGAACAGAAGAATAGGTTAATGGAGGTCAATGGCCTTTGGAAATATAAAAATTTTAGTTTTTTTTTAACTAAAACTAAAATGAAGGGACCGATTTGCTACACCTTTTTAATTTAGGCATTAAATTGGCGGCTGATTTGAAATAAAAAAAAAAATTAATAAAAAATTTAAAAATCAGAAATGTGAAATTTTTCAAAAGGACCTACGGAGCAATAAACCTGGATCTTTTAAAAAATATTTTTCAAAGAAACAAATTGTTTTTTTTAAGTTTTTCAAAAGGCCTTCAGAATACTCTTGCAATTTTACAGAACGAATATTTTTCAAAGGACCTTAAATGTAAGAAACGTGGATTTCTGAAAGAATATTTTTCAAAGGACCCTGAGAAAAATAAATGTGGATTTTTAAAGAATATTTTTCAAAGGACCTTCAGAAGAACTTTTAGAATCATAAACATGGAAATATTAACATTTGAGTTTTTTTTTTTAACTAAAAATAAAATGAAGGGACCGATTTGTTACACCTTTATAATTTAGGCATTAAATTAACGGCTGATTTGAAATAAAAATAAAATAAATTAAAAATTTCAAAATCACAAATGTGAAATTTTTCAAAAGGACCTTCAGAGCAATGAGCGTGGATCTTTTAAAAAATATTTTTCAAAGAACCAATTTTTTTTTTTTAAGTTTTTCAAAAGACCTTCAGAATACTCGTGGAATTTTACAGAATATTTATTCAAAGAGGGTGGATTTTTTAAAAATTATTTTCAAAGGACCTTCAATGCAAGAAACGTGGATTTCTAAAAGAATAATTTTCAAAGGACCCTCAGAAAAAAATTGTGGATTTTTAAAGAATATTTTCAAAGGACCTTCAGAAGGACTTATAGAATCATAAACATGGATTTTTAAAGAATATTTTCCAAAGGTCCTACAGAAGGACTTTTAGAATAAAAAACGTTGATTTTTAAAAAATATTTTTCAAAGGACCTTCAGAATTTCAGGAATTTTAAAGAATATTCTTCAAAGGACTTTAAGAGCAATAAACGTGGATTTTTGAATAATAAAAAACTTCAGAGATATAAAAGAGTATTTCTCACAGGACCTTCAGAACAAAAAACGTGGATTTTTTAAGAATATTTTTCAAAGGACATTCAGAGCAATAAAGATTGTTTTTTTTTAATATTTCTCGGAGGACCTTTAGAGCAAGAAACTTGGAATTTTCGAAGAATATTTTTAAAGGACCTTCAGAGTAATATATGTGGATTTTTTAAAGAATATTTTTCAAAGGACCTTCAATTCAAGAAACGTGGATTTTTAAAGAATATTTTTCTAAGGACCTTCAATTCAAGAAACGTGGATTTTTAAAGAATATTTTTCAAAGGACCTTCAATTCAAGAAACGTGGATTTTTAAAGAATATTTTTCAAAGGACCTTCAATTCAAGAAACGTGGATTTTTAAAGAATATTTTTCAAAGGACCTTCAATTCAAGAAACGTGGATTTTTAAAGAATATTTTTCAAAGGACCTTCAATTCAAGAAACGTGGATTTTTAAAGAATATTTTTCAAAGGACCTTCAATTCAAGAAACGTGGATTTTTAAAGAATATTTTTCAAAGGACCTTCAATTCAAGAAACGTGGATTTTTAAAGAATATTTTTCAAAGGACCTTCAATTCAAGAAACGTGGATTTTTAAAGAATATTTTTCAAAGGACCTTCAATTCAAGAAACGTGGATTTTTAAAGAATATTTTTCAAAGGACCTTCAATTCAAGAAACGTGGATTTTTAAAGAATATTTTTCAAAGGACCTTCAATTCAAGAAACGTGGATTTTTAAAGAATATTTTTCAAAGGACCTTCAATTCAAGAAACGTGGATTTTTAAAGAATATTTTTCAAAGGACCTTCAATTCAAGAAACGTGGATTTTTAAAGAATATTTTTCAAAGGACCTTCAATTCAAGAAACGTGGATTTTTAAAGAATATTTTTCAAAGCAATAAATGTGGTTTTGTGAAATAATATATTTCAAATTTGTGATTGTGATTTTTTGAAATAATATTTTTCCAAGGATCTTCCTCCGAAGGTCCTTTGGAAAATATTCTTTCAGAAAACCACATTTCTTGCTCAGATGGTCCTTTGGAAAATATGATTTGAAAAATTCTCGTTTATTTCTCTGAAGGCCATTCGAGAAATTTTCTTTAAAAATACACGTGGATTTTAAAGAATATTTTTAAATACCAAAATACCTTTAGAGCATATATTTTTTTTAATTTCTAAAGAATATTTGTTAAAGGACCTTCAGAGCAATAAATGTGGTTTTCTGCAATAATAATTTTAAAAAATACCTTCAGAATAATAAGTATGCATTTTTAAAGAATAATTTTCAAAGGGCCTCTATAGCAATAATCGTGGATTTTAAAGAATATTTTTCAAGGGATCTTCAAATACCTTCAGAATATTTTTCCAAAGATCTTCAAATAGCTTCAGGGTACTAAACGCAGATATTTTAAATAGTTTTTTTTTTTTCAAAGGTCCTTCAGAGTCATAAAATAGGTTTTTTGAAGAATATTTATCAAAGGACATTCAGAGCAATAAATGTACATTTTTTTTAAATCTTTTTAAAGAACCCGATTTGGATTTTTTACTTATTCTAAAAGGAAGTCCGGACCTTCAAACGTTTTTTTACGAATATATCCCAATGAATTTGGTGACCGGTAAATGTGGATTTTCAGGATTTTTTTTCAATGGACCTATAGACCAGCAAACTAAAATTTCTTAGGATATTTTTCCAAAGACTTCGTGACCATTTGACTATATTTTTTCAAAGGACTTTTTGACCATAAAACTTGGACTTTTCAAGATATCATTCCAAGCACAATATTAGCCCAACCTAGATGTTTTTATCATTTTTTTAATGTTCCTGAAATTTTTAATGTTAAGGATCCAATGTGGATCTCTAATAAAATTTTGATATGATCCAATGTAAACTCTTGTAGAAATATTTTTTGAAGAAGCCAAAGTACATTTTTTAAGAATATTTTTCAAAGAACCTTTCGAACCATATATCCAAAAGAACCATATATCATCATTTAGATTAGCAATCATACACTTTTAAAATAATTTTCCAAAGATCCTTTTGACGATCATCCCTGGAAATTTTACCCAAAGAACGCATATTTTTTGAAACATTCTAAACAAAACCTTTAGAACAATAGGGGGAACAATTTGAAAATATTTTCTAATTTTTGAAAAAAAATCATAATTTTTTTTCAAAGGTTTACTTTTCACAGGACTGATTTTTAAAGAATATTTTCTAAAGTTCCAAGAGGTTATCGATTTAAAGAAATTTTTCTGAAAATGTGTCCAAAAATTTAAATAAACATGAGTTATATGTTTAAAAATTCTAATGATTTTTTTCTTTTAATTTTATTGGGAATGAAATGTTTAAGAAAATATTTCAATCTGCATTTTTCGGAAAACTACACAACGTCTCTTTCTCCCTTTCAATCCGTCAAATATTCATATTCCCCCTTGGCCTTTTTCGTCTGGAAATTCTCTCGCATCTCCTTTAGACCGGAATCATCGAGCAATTTTCCAGCCTCCTTCTCCTCCACTGTCAACACCCCATTCTCCGAATAATTTTCCAAAAATTGTGAAAAATAATCAAAGAACTGCATAGCCTTTTTACGGCAACGACATTTCACTTCATAGAACTCTTTGGCGATTTGTTGAAATTCTTCGAGATTTTTTTGGACCTCATCATAGTCGGGTGATTTTGGGAGCTGTGGTAGAACTTTTCCAATGATCTCCACCATTCGACCGGCATTTTCTTTGGTCTCATCCAACACTGAACGTATGTGGGTGCGTTCAGCACTTGTCAAGATGTCACCCGGGGAGCTGGGGGCAGCGTGGAGGGACTAGAAAAAAAAACGTTTTTTTTTTTTTCATAAATGCCACACAACCAAAACTACGCATACCTGGCATAGGACCGTAAAAATGACAGCGAAATAAAATAAATTTAACATTTTTTCCACTACACTTCCTGAAACGTCAATCGAAAATATTCCGTTTTTCTATATTTCTCTATGAGTTTTATATGAAATTGTAATGTTTTCAATATTTTCTTATCATTTCTAATCACCTGACTCGGAAAAAAAATGTTTCAAAGCTTAAAAAATTCTAGAGATAAGAAAAAATCGATTTCTACCTTTGAGGTCTGAGCTAATATTTCAATACTGACATTTTAAGTATTCAGAAACGTCATGGTCCCATGAAATTTTCCATTGAAGAGGACAGTTCCATCTGCTTAGATTTTATTTCAGAATGAGAGGTCACACCTGATTGACTTTTCTTTAAGAAAAGATAATTTGGATATTTTCTTAATTAAAAAAATTTTCAAAAATTAATTTCAATTTTTTTTAATTTTTTTTGGATAATTTCTTAATTAAAAAAATTTTCAAAAATTAATTTCAATTTTTTTTATTTTTTTTCACATTGAAAAAAACAACAACAACAAAAACATGTGTATAAAAATATTTTCACATAATTTAGTCGAATATCAAGTGGGTGGTGGGCGTATGATTTGTTTTTGTCCAACACTACCAAATTGCGAGACAAGTCCAAATAACCAAAACAAAAACAAAATTACAACAACAAAAACAATAGCCTTGAATATTTCAGCATGTTGGCCACAAAATATATGGGTGCGTACGCACTCTTCGGGACATTTGGACACCAAAAAAAAATCATCCAATTTTATTGAGGAAAACCGGCATTTATCACTTGGATCGCCAGAAGCACCAAAAAAATAAGTTTTTTTTTTCAAAATTTTATGGAATATTTGGGAATGTGGCGAATTGGCGCTAATTTTTATTTTTAATTTTATGACAGTGATAGCATCCATTCTACACTTACCAATTGTCGTATAGATGGTACTGCAGAAAAACATGGCATTCCAAAAGGACCAGGTTTTTTGGGGCGCTGCCAGTTCCTCCAGAGTCTTGTTATTGTTCAGCAAAGATTCCACGCCCGCCTGATGATCTCGCAGCGTTCGTATCAGCTGGCCATTAAACTCTTTGGGACTGTACTATAAGAAATGGGGAGGAATTTGTTATTCTAAATTAGTTAAAAAGGAGGAAGAGGATTAAGGGAAATGAGAGGAGGGGTGCACCTAATATTACCTTTCTCGTTTCATGATCCTCGGCCAGGCGACGCATGGCATTAAATAGTTGCTTCTGTTCCTCGTGGGTATTGATGTGGGCCAATTCTTCTTGTCTACCTGAAAGGGGAAAGGAGAAATAAATAAAAATGTTGGAAAATAAAAAATAAAACTAAAAACAAAAAAAAATATTTTTTTTTTTCATAAAAGAAATTTAAAAAAATAATTATAAAATTACATTTTCTCAATAATTTCTGCGAAAATCCAGAGGATTATAAAAGAAGAGCTAAAAAAAGAAAATACATGCATAGGCGTTTTGAAAGTTTACAACGCAGCGCAAGTTCCCCCCTCTGCCACACTTTTGGAAATTTCCGGATTTAAGATTTCTTGAAATTAGTATATTTTAGGTATTTAGTATCTTTGGCATTATTGCAGATCACAATATGAGGATTATTTTAGTTTAAAATTTTAACCCACAATTAAGTCACCAAAGTGGAATTTGTGATCCCTTTTTCAAAATATGGTTAAAAACTTCCTTTAAACGGTATCGTAGCAAGTCAAAATATTTTACAAAATTATTTGTCATGAAATTCTACTATAGATCCTAGAAGACATCAAGAATCTAGATCTTACCCAAACGCCAAGAATGATTTTATATTAAAGTGCTATTTTTGGGATAAAGCTGTACTTTGTGAGAGTTTTTGCGAAAATCTCCAACAAACGATCATTTAAGAAGAATGAATTTAAAGACCACTAGTAAGAAAGCAGTAAGTTCGGCCGGACCGAACATTGAATACCCTCCACCGTTTGGAAAGAAATTGGAAATTTCCCAAAAAAAAAAATAAAATCCGTTAAAAACTCTGTTAAAATCTTAAAAATAAAGAATATAGCCGTTATATTGAGTCTATACGAAGACGTGGACCTGCATAGGCAACATTTGTCACAAGTCATTACAATATTCAAATACGTAACTTAGAACTGGATTAGCAAATTTTGATTTGTTTTTTACGACTTCTGGACTATCACACGTGGAATTTTAAATAAAATTTTCTAAAATGCTTCCGCGCCATCAAACCTGGATTTTTAAGGACAATGTTATAAGTGATTTCGTGAAATTTTTAAGAAATTTTTTTCTAGAGGTCCATCAAACGTGGATTTTTAAGAAAATTTCTCTAAAGGTGTTTTTGTTTTGCCATCAAACGAGGAGTTTGCTAAAGGACTTCTGGAACCACAATTACAATTTTTTAAGGGACCTTTTTTCCATCGAACGTGTCTTTTTCTCAATATGTTCCCAAGTTCTGGACTCTTAACAATGTGGACTTGTTAAGATTATTTTTCAAAGGATCTTTGGGCACCAAATTCGATTTTTTACGGATATAAGAACATATTTCAAAAAAAAAAATACAAAAAATCTAGAACTCATTGAAAGATTTCTAGATTTTTATTATTTTTTTTTTTTTTTTGGAATACTTTCTAAGATATTCCTGGCCATGAAAAGAAATTTTTTAATAGACTTCTGAAGAAGCAAATGTGGATTTTTACCATACCTTTAACCATATAGCTACAAAGTGTATATATCATTTGATACGTCCAATATGTGTCTCATCTAATTAACGATTTTGGACACCAAAAAGACTGAATGAAATCCGTATCAGGACATTTTGCGTTCAAAAGGTAAACAAATTTAAAATAATTTACATAATAAAAAATAAGCTAGTAAAAAAAGTCCTTAAGTCGGGCGGGGCCGACTTTAGGGTAGGGTATCATCTACACCACTTTGCTAATTTAGTAGAGCTCCAAATAACAATTAAAAGATTTTATGGGAGAATTCAATCATATACTCTATGATTACATTTATAATTTAAAGTTCAAAGGACTAAATATGCCGAAGCATTTGTATCTTTTAAATTCGGACTTGTATTGCCCATTTGGTGCAAAATTAATTTGAAGTCAGATAAAGATATATATGAGAGCTATATCCAAATCCGAACCGCTGTCGATAAAATTTGGCAAATATATTTGTGAGCTGTATTTAATATATATTTCCCTGAATATCGTTGTTACGGAGTGCATATTACGGCTGTGTGTAACAAATATGACGAATCGGATGAACAATATATATGGGAGCTATGGCTATATATGAACCAACCTTTACCAAATTTGACATACTAGCTTCTAGACTCAATTCGGTCGTAAGTGCCAAATTCCATCCCATTTGGGCAAATATTAAACGTTTGGTGTACAATAAAATGCAAATCTGACGAAGTTATACATAGCTTCTATATCCAAATCTGAACCAATCTCGATAAAATTTAGCAAATGTATTTCTGAGCTGTATTTCATATACTTCCCCAAATATTGTTGTTATAGAGTGCATATCACGGCTGCGGAGGACAAAAATAACAAATCGGATGAACAATATGCATGGGAGCTATAACTACATCTGAACCGATTTTGATTAAATTTGGCATACTTATTTTCAGGCCTAATTTGGTTGTATGTGCAAAATTCCATACTATTCGGACTGATATTACACGTTACGAGCACAATAAAAGGCAAATCGGACGAAGATATATATGGGAGCTATATCTAAATTTTGACCGATTATCTTTCAATTTCAATACGGTTCGTCCTTGGGCCAAACAAATGATCTGTGCAAAATTTCATCTGAATCGGGCAATAAATGCGACCTGTACTTTGTTTACAAAAATACATGGACAGACGGACGGACGGACTGACATGCATAAATCGACTCAGAATGTGATTCTATGCAGTTCATCAAAAGGAACGTTTCCTTTTTCCTGTTTTTTGCAAATGCACAAACACATAATACCCCGACCACCTTGTTGTGTAGGGTATAAATATTGTTTTTTTTTTTTTTCCTTTTTTTGTCAAAAATTTCCTAGGTTTTAAACAAAAATTTGTTGATTGATAAACGAATTTACGTTTCTCCTAATTTTTTTCTTTAAAAAAAATAATATAAATATAATAATTCAAATAACCTACAATTCAAAAAAAATATTTTTTTACGTAATAATTTCTTTTAAATAAAAAGAAAATGAAGACCAAAAAAGTTTTATAAAACAAATTTTAGCATAAAAACGGAGGCTTAAAAAATTGTATATAAATTCAACAAGTTTGGTTTTTTTATTTTTTAAAATTAAATGAATGGGTATTTTTAAAACTTATTTTTTATTTTATTTTTTATAATTTTTTTTATTTTATTTTTTTATTTTTTTATATTTTAAATTATAAAAACGTGATTGTGACTTTTTTAAAAATTAATATATTATTTAAGTTCAATAAATACGTAATTTTTTTATACCCTCCACCATAGTATGGAGGGTATATTATCTTTGTCATTCCGTTTGTAACTCCTCGAAATACTCATGTCAGACCCAACAAAGTATATATATTCTTGATCAGCGTAAAATTCTAAGTCGATTTAGCGATGCCCGTCTGTCTGTCTGTCCGTCTGTCTGTTGTAATCACGCTATCTTTCGAATGAATTGAGATAGATGGCTAAAATTTTGCTCACGTGTTTATTTTTCCAGTATGCAGGTTAAGTTCGTAAATGGGCCATGTAGGTCCACGTTTTCATATAGCCCCCATATAACGGCACCTCCCTATATTCGGTATTTTGATGATTTTAGCGACATTATTCACCGGAATTGTTTCAAAATTGGTATTTGAAGTTCGTAATGAATACTACAGTCTAAGATAGAAAATTGTCTGCGCAAGTCCATGTCTTCGTATAGCCCCCATACAACGGTACCTCCCGATATTCGGTATTTTGATGATTTTAACGACATTATTCACGGGAATTGTTTCAAATTTGGTATTTCCAGGTCCAGGTCTTCGTATAGGCCCCATATATCAGTACCTCCCTATATTCGGTATTTTCATGATTTTAGCGACATTATTCACCGGAATTGTTTGAAAATTGGTATTTGAAGTTCGTAATGAATACTACAGTCTAAGATAGAAAATGTGCAGGTGCAGATTCACGTCTTCTTGTAGCCGCCATGCAGGTCCATGTCTTCGTGTAGCCCCCATGTAACGGTAACTCCCGATATTCGGTACTTTGATGATTTTAGCGACATTATTCACCGATTTTTTTTTTAAGTTTCGGATTTGAATATTGTAATGGCTTATGACAAGAGTTACCTATGCAGGTCCATGTCGTCGTATAAACCCTAATATAACAGCTACATTCGGTATTTTTAATATTTTAACCGAATTTTTAATGGATTTTATTGTTTTTGAGAACTGCCAAATTCGTTCCAAATGGTGGGGGGTATTCAAAGTTCGGCCCGGCCAAACTTACAGCTTTTGTACTTGTACTTGTTCTTTTTTTTTTGTCAAAAAAATTCCATATATAAGAAGTCCTTGAGACAATTTCCATAAATATTTAATTTTTTTTTAATTCCATCGATTTATAAAAAAAGTTAATTGATTGATAAACCAATTTCTTTCTCCTAAAATTCCTAAAATAAAAATTCAAGTAACCTAAAATTCAAAAAAAAAAAATATTTTTAAAATAATATTTTCTTTCAAACAAAGTTATTTAAAGAAAAAACTTTAATAATATGTTTTAAAAACATTTTTTAACATAATAACGGAGACTTAAAAAATACTGTTTATATAAATTCAACAAGAGCGGATTTTTTTATTTATTTTTTTTTTTTAAATTAATTTAATTTGTTTTCAACCCCAAGCAAACGTATTTTTTGATTAACTTTAACTTTTTGTAAAAAAAATTAAAAAAAATTGTTTTTTCATTGATAAACACATTTATGTTTCTCTTCTGAAGAAAAAAAAAAAAAAACATAAAATTGATGAGAACATTGAATGAACATCATTAAGATTGAGAACAAATAAGACGAACGACTGCCTGCCAGCCAGTTAGCCAACCAACCAGCCTCCCGGAACATGGAAATCAATCTTCTTTGCCATTTCCATCCGATTGATTGTTGAATTGTTTACGCCAATTTAAACGATTGTTTTGAAAATGTTTTGAATGAAGATACAAACTATAGTTCCATTAAATTCCGAAATCCCATTGCGTTTGGACTCTTGAGAATTTATGTTCCCAAAAAAAATAAAACCCTCTCTACGTA